GACCAATGTCTAAACACAGACGAGTTCTTGACGAAGCTGTAAATTTGAAGTCGACCAATCGCGGATTCAAAACCTCCAACCATTTAGTTGGAACATATGAACAAACTAAAAAAGGACTCAGTTTTTTTTACCCGAAAAGGGAGGTACTTAATGATGGAATACATACTAAGCCCTTGAATTTGTAAGTTTATTCTATAAACTGTAGTAAAACTTCATACCATACAATGATTTATATGTTAGTCAACTTTTCAACTGTATTATAACAATTCACAGTAATTTAATTTTTTTTTCTGAAAAACTTTATTTCTTCTTTGAAGCTTCAGTTAGGTTTCAGCATAGTTTCAGATACTTTCAATTTAAACTCTAATGGTTTAAAACAAAATAAAAATCGTATTTTAATACAATGAAAAAATCTAAAACCTATCGCATTGGTGTAGAGAATCTTAAAAAATGGTAAGATCGGGCGCCAAAATTTTTTTCTGAAACTTACCATCTGAAACCTTACCATCTTAATACATTGGGAAACCTATTCCCTATCTTAATACAATGGAAATCTATTCCCTATCTTAATACATAGGTTGGTGACCGGATACTCTATAGCCTATCTTAATACATGGAGGTCACCAACCACCCCCCCCCCCCCCCCCACTCTCCCTCACTCATATACTACTCACGTATTATTCTTGAACACAAATTCTCACCGGTTGTGAATTAGTTTTTTGGCGTCGACTAGTTCAGGCGGAAGTTTTGCATAACCATCTTTTTTGTTGAGCTGTTTTGTGTTAAGGCCCAAGAGGTTAATATTTGTCCTTGGAATTGTTACTATGTATTGATTTATATTTTACGTTCGACATTCGAAATTAAATCTGAAAATCCTAACTTATACGCGAGCTAGCGAGCGTAGTGTGGTTTTGCAAATTTACTATGTTTTCTAATGTCACGCGCAATTATAAGTGCTCGTAGTATTGGCTACTAAGTAGCATCTGTTTTATCTGCTTTATTAGTGGCAAGTATTTGCAGATTTACAAGCAATCATGGAGCAAATTTGGATTATTTTTCTTGTTCTTACGTTTTTTTAAACAATTTTATAGCTACTGTTTGACGTCCACACGTGTTTGCGAATTACAGCATCGGCTGTGTGTAAAATAAACGTGGTTGTTGACACGAACATAAAATTAAATGAGAAGATAGCCGAACAAACAATTTGTCAACGTTGAAAACTCTTCCACAGGCTGAGTGGCTGGAGTCATAAAATCTTCGAGATATTGTGAAAGTCATTGCAGTATCCGAAGAAAGCCAACAGAGTGGAAATCGACTTTTCGAGCAGCAAGAGGTTACTCAGCACAAAGTGGTCGAGTTGACCCGAGTGGTAAATGCTAATTTGGTCATCAAAGACATCAATTGCACATCGGCTTCCCTCTCGTGGCAACGGAGAGCGACCTATCAACTTTAAGTTTTGTTTTCACGGAGATGCGTCAAGATTAACTTACTCGAAAAGAAACGAGGCTTGAAATACATTCTGGAGTTCAACCGAGTGCGATTATTTGAAGATATCAGTAAAGCGCGGCTTAATTTTTTCAACATATTGAAGAATGATTCAAGAATTGGCTCTACAAGGACGAGAGAAGGTCCCATTTTCTATCAGTGGAAGGAAGACCAACGGATGCACAAGATTGATCAATTTTTCGAAGAAGGAAAAATCAAGAATTATACTTTCGGTGCTGTGATAAATTGTTATAAAAGAGATTTTTCCGTCCCTCAATCCAAAACAAGACACATAACTGTGAGATTACCTTACCTAACATAAATGTTCGCTCACTTCGAAAGAATTCTGACAAATTGAAAGCAATGAACTGTTGTCTGGAGTATCATTGAATCATTTCTAGAGCATATAGCATCCATTGATACACCATTTTTTATTATGGGGATTTTAATACTGTTATTAATAAAAAGCTATGATTTGAATTACTCCCAGATAAAGCAACCCGTTTTGTGAAATTTCTCAACCGTGCATTGATCATTTCGTTCTCTAAACGTCCCTGGTTTTTCAGTTTCTGTTGTTAATCACCAAAATTTCACTGATCACCATCCAATTCTACTCAAATAAAAATATAACAATGTTCCGGAAAGCATCAAAACAAAAAGGTTTCGAGATACATCTTTCCTTAAGGATACTAATTTAGTGAAGAAGTTTTTTTCGTATGAGTCACGAATTCGAGACTTAAATCTATCTTTTATAATTTGTTACAGTTTCATGCAACATTTCTAACTGTAATTAGTACATTTGCTCCTATTCGAAGAAAACAGTGCAAGTCGGTCAATGATGTTGGATGGATGACCAATAGAGTACAAAATCTAAGAGTCAAACGCAACTAAGCGCACTGTAATTGAACAAAAAATTATAGCTTCTTATCAGGTTTAAGGTTTTGCGCCAGAAAGTAGAAAACGAAATCATAAAAAGTAAAAGTTATTTTTATCGTTCAAAGTTTGAGTGATGTATCGGAGACTCCAGGCGTGTGTTTACAATATTAAATGAACTAGCTGGTAAAAATAGCTATCAAAGCATCACTCCTCTTGTTTCTTGCTCAAACAGGTAACAACATACCAACTGATTCAGATTTTGCTGAAAAACGTAGGGTTCTCTTTGCAAATATTGGCAAGACCCTATTCAAGAATGCACTCGTTCGTTTTATCTGCAAAAAGTCACATTTGAAGAAGTATTCAAAACAATTGAGTCTTGAAAAAAAAACGTCATCGGAAACGACAATTTAAATAATCTAATCATCAAAGTGTCAAAGTCAGCCGTGGCTGAGCAACTAGTGAGTTTGGTTAATAAAACATTCTCGAGTGGAGTTTTTCTATGTGAATTTAAAAATGCAAAATTTACTCCTCTTCATAAAGGAAAATCGAAAGCGGATGAAATAAATTATAGGCCAATTTCCCTTTTCTTAGTCTGGAGCAAAAAAATTCAGCGAGTAATGTTCAACAGAGTTCACGCATACTTTAAAAATCCTGATTTATTTTATAGCAATCAACTCGGTATTCAGAAAAAGCACTCAACTGTCGATGTTTTGTCCGATTTTACTGAGAAACTAAGAATCAACAAATTGAAAGCAACGAAGACATTTTTTTGGATTTAAAAAAACCATTGATACCGTTAATCATGAAAGTTATGGCTCAGGACAAAATTGTTACAAATGGTTCAAAAGTTTTTCAAGAGACCGATACCAACGGCTTGAAATTGACGATATTTCATCAAATTGGATTAAAATTGGCTGCGGTGTGCCTCAAGGTTCGATCTTGGGTCCACTTTTTTCCTTATAACTGGCTAAATGCAAATAAATTTGCGTTGATTCTCGATAGAATTGTTCAAATGGATCTAAGCTACCAAAGAGTCAATATTGGACATGAATTCTTGATGAGTGATGCTTTGATAAAAAAAGGTAACTTCTGTAAATAATTAGGCAATCAACTTGATTCGCTTTAGTCATTTAAATCACATGTTGATTATGTGCTTTCATGACTAGGGAAGCAATGGGGTGTGATTTGTAAGCTAAGGCATTGGGTACCAAGAAAGCAATTGATTGGTTTTGAAAGGAACGTACCTCCATTTATTCAAATGGAGTTTTAGTCTATGGGAGTACAAGTTTTTCTAATCTAAGCGATGTCTTTTTATTGCAAAAGAAAATCTTAAAGCTTATTTATTTTAGAAGAAAATTTGCTCATTCGGAGGAACTTTTTGTTATAATTAAAGTTTTAACTGTATATGAATTGCACATTTACGAACTATTGAAATTTGTTTCGCGCTCGTTTGCTAATCTTCATTCTGCAGAGTTTCTTGATAATTTATTTACAGTTCAAATGTTAAGTCGATTTACAAGAATTGAAAGGTGCCCTGTTCAGTTCCGTGCATTAAAACTTTTGAATTCTCTTTTGAAACAAAATATTTTACCGCAAGAACCTACTTCATTAGCAATTATTGAAATTGAATTTTTTCATCATGACCTTAAGTTTTCTGATATCAGTAACAGCATGGAATTTTTTAAGTATATCTTCGCGCAATAGGTTAGTTTTCTTTATTAAGCTACTGAAATTAGATTTCTGTGATCTGCTATGAACTGAAACTTTCTCGAACTTGTTCACTTATTGCTGCCCATGTGCTCAGTTGGGTGTCATCTGTCCAAAAAAGTCTCCAATCAATTCTATTTGTGTTATTGAGGCTTTAGGAATATTTAACAGTTTGAAGAAGCAGCAATATAAAAGTAAACAAGTTCAAGAAATATATTAAAACCGGATCGGATTGAGGCGCCTACCACTAGCGAGTTTTCGAACCGAAATTTACAAAAACGTTTTCTTTTTTAACCCGATCAAAAGCAAAATTCTCGAAATTAATGAACCATTTCCTTCATCATTGGTTCCTGTTTTCTTTTTACTCAATCGAGGTTGAGTCACTAATCCATCTTGTAAGAAATCTTCAATTAAGAGAAATTTTTTAAAATTGTAACTTTTGTGTTTTTTGTTGTTTATGATGTGCTTAATTGTTATAAACCTTGATGATTATAAAATGTCTTTTTATGCTAACTCGGGGAAGAGTTTTGAGACCTATCGAGCCCGTTTGCTGTACTCTCGGGGTGTAATTAAAGTTGAAGGTATAAAACAATCAAATTTATTTCTCATGAGTAAAAGCAAATTAAACAAGTATATAATAACTCATGAGAAATGTATTCTTTCTTTCTTTTGTCTGCAGATTTCATCATGTAATGTGTTCATTAGCATATCAAATTTCAGTTTTATTTTCTGCCCGTTTAGCGTATGTCAAATATACTTATTGGAAAGTTTAATAGTCAAACTATCATTTTTCTTTTGATTTTTGTAGGCTGAGTTTATATCTAGTGAATTTTTCTTCTCATTCAAGCAGTTTACCATTGTGGGATTCATTATGTAGAGTAGCAAAATTTACTTTTTATGGTTGTTCTTGCTGACCATTCGTTATTTTCCAGACTGCTGTGTCTCTGTTAGAAGACGGGAAAGCGGAGCAACTTTTGACATCTCTTAGGACCATCATCAGACCAGACATACATGTGAGCACGGCTACTGGATCCGGATCGGCTATCGTGGATCTGTCCCACAAAATAGCCGCTGTCATTGCCAGTAAGGATTTTTCAATCGGGAGCTAGACTTTTCCCAGTTAAAAAAATCTTACAGTCAGTTCTCGGAATTCGCCTGCTTTTTTTTGTCAGCAGTAGGCCGGAATTCGTCTGCTTTTGTTTTGTCAGCACTAGCTGTTTTTGTTTGGTCAGCAGTAAAACAAGTAGCCTTAATAGAAATTTACCAGCTGTTGTGAAAGAAAGTTGGGACTGGATCAAATGTAATATTAATACGTCTTCAAAAGAAGTATACTGTAATTAAAAATGATTGCTCAAACTTTTCACCTTTGGATAATGTAATTTTCCGGCTATCGTGCGTTTGTGTATGTTTTTTTGGTTGATTTACAACTGCACTCACTGCCTTTCCTTGAAACTTCGCTATGCGTAATTAGAACGCAGCAGTTTGTGTGAGCACTCTGAAAGAGTGGGAACAAAATTCCAGCTCGGTTTTTCCCACGCGAATTTGGACATACAGGAAGTTCTCCGAGCTCATGTGTAGTTAATCTGGATTTTGTAAAGATTTGAAAAGCAGAATATGAGTTCCTTTTCCTTCTAGGCGAGAGTGAATTTCTGGGCGTGTTGCGCTGCAAGTACGACAGTGTATGGAGTGATGCGATGGGTCTTAGGAGCCAATACGAAACGGACTACAATCTCAAACTGCGTCTCAAAGTCTCACCTTCCTCCCAGTTCTTTTTGCTGGTTAAAAAATTTGAAATTTTTTTGCAGTTATTTGAATTGATAGACGACTAGTGAGAACCAATCAGTATTCATCAGAGATTGCAAATTCGCTTAGCCTAGCACAATTCATAAGAATGTAACCCATAGAAATTTTTGCAAAGATGTTGGTCTTAAGTTTCCCATATCAAAGGTTTATACCCAAAAATCTATTAGATCAACAAAACTGCTGTGAAAAAACATTTAAAAAGGTAGCAATCATTACAATAAATTTAGATAAAGGATTTGGGGGAGACAAGGAGATCGACGGCCTTACTCCCCTAAGTGTCACAATTTGGTGCTATTTTCCGGTATACATTTTTAAAGATCAACCCTACTGTTTTTTTTTACTGTTTTGTGTCTCTGGTTAGGAGCTGAATACTCTTATCTATCTATCAATATCTATAATCTATACTATATTTAAATGCTAGTGACAGCTATTTCCCATTTTTAAGCACAATAATTTTGCATGTTTAACAAAAGAGTTTTTTCATGTTTAAGCTATATCATATATTGCAATGCTTAAGAAAAAATTTTTTCGTTTAGTTTTCGGCAAGGTCGTTAGTTTTTCAGCAATTTGTTTCGAGGCCAAATTAAGTCTGTCTGTCTGTATACCTGCTTTTTTTAAATTAATTTGATTGTGTCTGTCTACCCGTCTCCTAATTTTTTAAAAATTTTCTTCTGTCAAATCTATTATCTATTATATATTTAAATGCGGGCTTCTCAATCTCGCCATGTTTAAGGTTTTTCAACGTATTTTTTTGCATCTTTAACAAAAGAATTTTTTCATGTTTAAGCTATATCGTATATTGCAATGGTTAAGGTTTTTTTCGGTTTTCCCGTATAAATTCAGGTTTTATTTCATCAAGTTTGTAATTAGCAACCCAATAGTTGGATGTTGGCAGAGTTTTCCCAGGTTTTTCGATTCTGGCCTCCAGATATGAATGACCAAATCCTTGTAGTTTTCGAGATATGACATTTTTTATGTTTTTTTTCTTAAAAAATTTTCAAAAACTTCGATTTTAAATGTTGTTGGATTTTGGGAGGGTACTCTCAGGGGTTGCGAATCTTGCCTATAATTATGGCTGCTCAAATCCTTGTAGTTTTCGAGATATGACGTTTTTTTAGGATTTAAAAAAATTTCAGAAAATTTAGATATAAAAAAATTCACAAAATTTGATATTCCCATCTCGGTTGTGAGGCTCTGTTGCAAATCTTGCCTCTGAATATGTCTGCTCCAAAACTTGTTGTTTTCGAGATATGACGGTTTTCAGTATTTTCTCAAAAAAGTTTTCAGAGATCTTGAGTATAAATTTTTTTTATAAAACTTCAAGTTACCATCTCTGTAGTGAGGCTCTTTCAGGGTACTCTCAGGAGTTGTGAATTTTGCCTCCAAATATGACTGCTCATCACCTTGCAGCTTTCCAGATATGACTTTTTTGTGATTTTTTTTATTTATGAAAATTAAATTAATTTTCTTTTCAAAGTTTGAAATTCCTAACCTGTAGTTGGGGCTGTCAGAGTAATCTCAGGAGTTGCAATTTTGGCCTCCAATTAAGAATGCTCAAACCTTTTTACTTAAAGAGATACGACGATTTTTGTGATTTTTTGGAAATTTTCAGAAAACTCAAATTACAAAAGAGTTCACTAAAGTGAAATTCCCAACCCTGTAGTTGTGTGCTGTCAGAGTACTTTCAAAGATTGCGATTATTGCCATCTAATAAGATGGCTCAAATCTTGGTTGTTTTGGAGATGTGAAATTTTTCTGGTTTTCAAAACAAAATACCTCTTTTTAGAAAACTTAAGGTGATGTTTCTCAAAATTTGAGTTTCCCAACGTTGTAGTTGGGTACTGTAAGAGTACTCTCAGGAGTTGTAAATCTTGCGTCCAAATGCGACTGCTCAATTGCTTTCAGTTTCCCAGATATGACGTTTTTTTAGTTCATTTTAAGTTTTTCGAAGAACTTATATAAAACTTCACAAAATTTTATGGTTCTTCAAAATTTGTTTAAAAAACTTGAATAAAATTTTAGCAAAATTTGTAATTACCAACCCTGTAATTGGAAGCTGTCAAAGCAAACTCAAAGCATGCAGATCCTATTTCCAATAAATGCGGTTTATCATGAGTACCGGAGGTGCGTTTCACGCTAGTAATATATTTAAATGCGAGTGACAGCTATATCCCATGTTTAAGCATAATAATCTTGCATGTTTAACGAAAGACTTTTTTCATGTTTAAGCTATAGCATATATTGCAATGCTTAAGAAAATTTTTCATTAAATTTTTCGCAAGGTCATTAATTTGTCAGTATTTTTTTGAGGCCAAATTAAGTCTGTCTGTCTGTATACCTGCTTTTAAAATTAATTTGATTATGTCTGTCTACCCGTCGCCTAATTTTTTAACTTTCATCTATTATCTATCTATCTATTATATATTTAAATGCGGGCTTCACTATCTCGCAATGTTTAAGCTTTTTATACGTATTATTTTTGCATGTGTTGCAACCCCCAGGGTACTCTGAGGGGTTGTGAATCTTGCTTCAAATTCTCACTTCTCAAATCCTTGTAGTTTTCGAGATATGACGTTTTTTATTATTTCTTCAAAAACTTAGATTGTAAAATAAAACCGAAAATTGAGGATCTCAATCCTGTTGTTAGATATTGTGAGGCTACTCACTGGGGTTGTGAATCTTGCCTTTGATTATGGCTGCTCAAATCGTTCTAGTTTTCGAGATATGACGTTTTTTTATTATTTCTTCAAAAACTTAGATTGTAAAAAAAATTCCGAAAATTAAACAACTCAATCCTGTTGTTAGATTTTGTGAGGCTAGTCACTGGGGTTGCGAATCTTGCCTTTGATTATGGCTGCTCAAATCGTTTTTTCGAGATATGACGTTTTTATTTTTTCAAAATTTGATATAAAAAACTTCAAAAAACTTGAAATTACCATCTCTGTAGTGAGGCTCTCTCAGGGTATTTTTAGGAGTTAAGAATTTTGCCGCCACTTATGACTGCTCAAATCCTGTTAGTTTTCGAGATATGACGTTTTTTATGATTTTCTCCGAAATTTTCTAAAAAACTTAAATGTTAAAAAAGTCCAAAACTTTGAAGATCTCAATCCTGTTATTGGAATCTGTGAGGGTACTCTCAGGAGTTGAGAATTTCGCCGCCAGTTGTGATTGCTCAAATCTTAGTAGTTTTCGAGATTTGACGTTTTTTATGATTTTCTCCGAAATATTCTAAAAAACTTAATTGTTAAAAAATTCCAAAACTTTGAAGATCTCAATCCTGTTATTGGAATTTGTGAGGGTAATCTCAGGGGGTTGCGAATCGTGTCTCTGATTTTGGCTGCTCAAATTTTTGTAGTTTTCGAGATAGACGTTTTTTTAGGTTTTTTCCAAAATTTTTCCGAAAACTTAGGTATAAAAAGCTTCGCAAAACTTGAAATTCCCATCTCTGTTGTTAGGCTCTGTCTGGGTACACTCAGGAGTTAAGAATTCTGTCTCCCAATGGGACTGTGAGTTTTGCCTCTAAAAAGGACTGCTCAAAATTATGCAGTTTTCCAGATATGACCTTTTTTTGTGATTTTTTCAAAAAAATTTCCATGACAATTAATTTAATTATTTTTGAAAGTTCAAAATTCCTAACCTGTAATTGGGGGGAAAACTTCGGAAAACTCAAATTACAAAATAATTTGTTTAAATGAAATTCCCAACCCTGTAGTTGCGTAGTTTCAAAGATTTCGAATATTGCCATCAAAGAAGATTGCTCAAATCTCGGTAGTTTTCGAGATGTGATTTTTTCTGGTTTTCAAAAAAAGTACCTCTTTTACAAAACTTAAGGTGAAGTTTCTCAAAATTTGAATTTCCTAACATAGTAGTTGGGTACTGTAAGAGTACTCCCAGGAGTTGCAAATATTGCGTCCTAATGCGACTGCTCAATTGCTTTCAGTTTACCAGATGGGACGTTTCTGAATACATTATATACTTAGATATGAAAATGTCTCAATTTTTTATTGTTTTTCAAAATTTGAATTAAAAAATCGAATGAAAAATTTTACAAAATTTGAAGTTACTCTCAGGAGTTGCAAGTCTTGCGTCCAAATGCGACTGCTCAATTGCTTTCAGTTTCCGAGATGTGACGTTTCTTAGTTCATTTTAAATTTTTCGAAGAACTTTGTGGTACCGCAACTGCTACTGCCACTGCAGTAACTATGCAGTCCTCATATATATTGGCCTTGATAGTGCTACTTATATTTGCCACTGCTATCGCAGCAATCAGATAGTCATCACATATTGACCTTGATAGTGCTATACATATTGTTATCTATAAATTATATAATTCTATTATAAAAACCAAGGTCAAAGAATACGTGACCTTTTTAGAAATTCAAGAGAGTCAATCTCTCAGGCCTGTGGCTAAGAACACAGTCAGTAACAAACTAACAACAGAAAAGAAACGGTTTCATTATGGTTAATTAAACTCTTTCGAAACCACTTCAGTTTTCACTATACAACCTCAGAGGTATTGTTAGTTATCACATGGCGCAGCCAGCAGGATCCGGTTTCACTGCTCAGGATAATAGGACTGATCTAGGAATCCCAGTATTTTGGGCATCCGCAAATTCAGATCCACCTTGGAGTTTTGAAACGTGGCTTGACCAGTTCCTATTAGCTGTTACAGTTAAAGAGAATGTGGATCCAGAAATAATGTTACAAGAACCCAAACCGGTATTAGAAGAACCTTTACCAGCTCCTGAAACACCAGCACAAAACGAGGATGAGATAGCGACAACAGAAAGAGAAGCTCGGAACAGATTGGCTCGAGATAGAGTGGTTCAAGAAAATGAAGAACGGACACTAAGAGGACCTAGAGTGGGACACAATGTATTCTATCACGAAGTGGGCAAACGGCTAACATCGAGATTATTCCTCGCTTTAGGAGCAGAAGGGAAGAAAAAATTTATACAAAAGAACCCTCACACAG